ATAAAAAAAACATTGGAAACACTTCCACTATTTACAGAACCAGTTTAGATACAGCTGACAATAAAATTTATTCGACAAACACAAACAACTCATTAATATGTTCGCAATTAATTACAGAAGAACATAACGCCGCACTAATTACTTAATTCCAGTTGTTTGATTAATTTCACCATTTGCTACACCGGTTTGTTGTAATCATTTCGACTAACAATGTTGAATAATAATAAGACATGTGATTTATCAGATTCCTAGTCATTGTTCCAACGCCAGCACGGACGTGTGGTGCCCTCGAAGGATTTTGAATTAATTTAGAGGATATTATACCTATTAAAAAGTCTTATTAATATATTCAGAACTTTGCATATAATAGGTGGATGGATGTAGTAATTTTTTATAGATATATGCCCGGCTAGGTACCAAATATTGAATATTCAGATCGCATTGTATACCGCTGAGCATGAAAGAAAAGACTTCAAAGGTAAGAAGCAAATTATATAATGCGAGGATTGGTACTTCAAGAAGCAAGGATAAATTTGATAGTTTGAGGTACAATGCAAGTCATTTCTTTAAGTAAGAAACACTTATTACAATAATTACACCAGGCACACAAAAAGTGCTCTACTCTTTTGATCACAACCCATCATTAATATGTTTTCGGACACATCGGTTGGGCGCCATTACTCACCATTTTCGACAAAATGCCCCCAAATCCTCAAACATAAAGAAGAGAGAGAGGAGGTTTTAACATCGTAGGGAAGCTGGTCCATACACTGGGTTCCATAACGCTTCCTCCATAATTTCAGACTCACTGAACACCATCTGAAGTCGCTTTGGTATCAGCACTCACCATTTTCACTTGTAGCGAATTCCCTTGTCTTCAAAAGATCTATGTAGTGGGTTTCTCTTTCTATCTCTAATCTTACACTGTGTTTGTGATTACCAGAAAAGCTTACCTGTTATATTTTTGAAGTTTTGCAACACAGTCTTCTCAGTTTCATTTACTTTCAATACAAAATCGTAATCAGTTTAGTATCGCTGACTACGAGAATTTTATTTTCCGTGTATCCGCAACATTCACTATATTTGTCCAAAGCTTTAACGAATTGTTTCATTAATTCAAGTTTTATGTGTAGTGAAGCTTGAGCAACGTTAAAAGATCCTAGATTCAGGTCTCAGCTAGATCAGGCTTTTTGCCATAGTGAATCTTCCTACCTATACTGACTCATAAACATAGAAAGCAAGGATACTTATCTATATACTATCTGAATTTGGATTCTGTATTAGTTTGGAGGGTAACTCAATATACTGAATTACATCAGCTTTCCTGAGCTGTCAACCAACCTATCAAGAAGAAAAGGTGATGACGTTGCTCTCTGATGTAGGCCATAAAAGGCCGTCGTTCTCTTAGCACGGATTCTCTCGTTGACGAGACATAAGTGCACTCGCAGAGTACATGGTCATCTTTCCTGCTCACAACCTTATATTGTAGAGGTGTATCCTTAACCAACAGCGATTTGAATACCTGTCACCAGGCGAAGGCTTACCCTGGACAAAGCCAGGTACTTTTTGGCTGTGTCTTTGCTAGAGTATCGTAAGACCTCCTTAGAAAATCGACGGTTGTTTTCCCACCGTGTTCTAAACTTTTGGTGGATGTCTTCCACTTAACCATTTCAAAAAGTGCTAACAACGAGAGCACGCTGGTAACATACCCTCTTTATTAGAAGAAAAGTATTTCCAAAAACTAGTTTTACGTGATCGAGACACAGATGAATTGGTTCCTTCAGATGATGAACGTTTGCGGATATCTCTTTCCATCCCATGATATATATTAATCTTCAATGTCTCACTCTTCGTATCTCTTCTCGATCCCAGATTTCTGGAACAGTGGGTTCAAAAATATGAGGGTTCTTAAGGCATTACAATCCTTAAGTATAACCCATTTTTTCGAGGATTTGGAATGCGTATTTTCAAAAATAGTGGGGCCTATCTTCAAACTGACTTCAAATTCGTATTAGCAGGTCCAAAAACTTGGCAATAATATGTATATTTGATCAAAATTAGATGCAAAAATTCGTAAGGGTAGATATTTTGCTGAAAGACAATGGGACAGTCAAATCAACAACAAATTTCTGAAAACAATTTTATGCAATTTCATAACATTTACATATTAATAACAAAAAATAACATTTCCAATCTTTTTATAATTATGTAAAAAAAGATCATCCTAGCTGATTTAAATTCTTTAAATTCTAACCGAGTACATTGTAAATATAATTTTCACATACATAACTTCACGTGTGTGAAGATGGTTGTTGACGTCCTCAAATGAATTGGAGGAATTGCCTTAATATAATGTAGTCCTCCAGATGAGAAAGCCTCTATCAGCTGACGAGCCTAGACTTGACTGGGAATGTCTATAACTAACCACCTAAGTAACTGTCTGGAACTGTGTAGTGTTCGTTGAAACTGCCCTTGTATGAATAAATCAGTCGATCACTATGTATAAAGAAAAATGGTTAGATCAGTTGAAGCTAGCTCGATGGTGGTGTTACTTTATGATCGTAATAGTTCTATTGGATCTATTGTTGGATATTGGCAAACTACGTAGGTACATCTCTCTTATACCATTGATTGGCTTCTTTTTCGTAAATATTTCAGTCCATTCACATCTGAGAAAAGGACGAATAGGATATTTACCAACGACTAGCTGAGATATACAACAAGCAGACTAACTTCTCAGAAAGAGAAACACTGAATTGGTTCTCTGGTATGAAAAATTTATCAAAATATGTAGTTTACATCNGGATCAAGATGAACTTGTCCCAAAACTGCAACTTCACTAGCTTCATTAACTATATGTTTTTCAATTTCTCGTTTTTTATTGGCCACGTTCCATGTCTCTTGAAATTTTTTTTACTAACTCTAGAACATTATTCCTCCTGACATGTCGATCTTGATGTTGTTCATTAAATAGCTGAGCTGTTCTATTCGCATATTTATTGTTCATAATGTAAAGCGAAATGATATCTACTTTTTCCGCAATGAAATAAACCATAGTGTTTAATTTTCAAAAACACAATTAAATAAACTACCAACCAACGCTTCCAAATAATACTAGAAAATAATTTGGAATCCACTAATTTTACGTTCATTGTGTGTGTATAACATTCATTCCTGTTTTTTACAATTGTGTTTTTTTTACAAAATTGATAACAAATCGCCAAAAACTAATGTAACGCAAGAAATACTAAATTTATACCATTGGCGTACTTAACTCGAACGACTGAGATTTTTACCGTTACTAATTGTTTGTAGATAAGTTTCAACTTTAAAATCAAAATTCTTAATAAGTATTGGGCGGAATTATAAAATTTAAAGTCTGTTGTAAAGAGAATTGTAAGAACTTTCAAATGAAATATTACTCAACCTCCAATGCCATTTAAATATTTTGGAGTGATGCTAGCCCTTGCTTGGGGGTGAAAGTGGCGCAGTCAAAAATACCCGCCAAAAATGTCCCCCATTAATCTAAAATCGACGGGTCTGAGCGTTTTTCTACAATCTTGACGCAGTTCCTGAAAATGACTCGTTTCCATTTGGCCACCCTGTAAATAAATTATTTTAAATTAAATTATATTTTATTATAAAAAGCAAAGACAAAATACTTTTAGGCAAAATTACTATTTCAGTTATATACCACAATTATTAATAAAATTACTAAATGCTAAAGTAATTTTTTGTCTATGCTAAAAACAGTTTCTAAATACATAAAGACGGTCGTACACCAAAAGCTACGCTGTTCCAGCACGCCAAACCGGTTTTGCACAGCTTTTGATGTAAACCCCGTCATAAAACTACATGTTAAGCTAGCATAGCCATCTCGAGTACCTAACTGTCTTAAAATTTTTAGTGTTACCTGACCTTCCACATGGATCTATATTAGGACCACTAATATACAGGATGTATCTTAAGTGATGACTTTAATTTCAAGGGGTGATTCCTTGTCATATTTTAAGCAAAAAAGTGCATATGAACATCGGTCCGCAAGTGATTCGCTACCGAGATACAGGGTGTCAAAGTTGGGAAAATAAATCGCATTTTTTTAAATATCTTTCGACTGATTCGAAATAATTTAATGAAATTTCATACACGGGGGTTTTTTGGAATGACAAATTCAAAGCTGTGGTCAATTTAGGTGTATTTTTTTGAGGGCGCCNTCTGGTATGAAAAATTTATCAAAATATGCAGTTTACATCTCAAGACATTGTGGTAGAAAAACCAATATATCATGTTGTAAACTGCCATGAAATGATGGCATTTGTTAGTTTCAAAAAGATACTTTAACTAATTGGAACAAAAACCCTTTTTTAATTTAGTTTTTTATATAAAGCTGTTAATATTAATTTAATTGGATAATTTTCTTCAAAAATATAACTATTTATTTTTGAAAATTATTCAAAAGAGTTCATTCCAGACATGGAGGCAAGATAATTTTTTAAAACTATACATACAATTATTGTTCTAAAGCTTCAATTTTGGCATCAGATTTATTTTTCGAAGGATTGTCACGTATTGATGCTGACGGAGCAATTGAATCAGAAACTTGAACCGTATTGAAAGGCGTTCTATTTGAAACTTGAATTTTATTTCCGACAAAGTCTTCCCTTTCTGCCACTAAAGTAGACATCCAATCCGTGTGTCTTTTGATGAAGGTAATATTGACCCCAGAATACGACATATTCGTCACAGAAGTGTGTTTGAAACAAATAAGTTTCTTTCTTAGGGTGCATATTTTGTCCAATACCAATCAATTGATTGGTACATTTTCCATTAGCATATCTAACCGAAAATCAGCAATTTTTAATAGACTTAGGGCACCAAACGCAGTATGCTGAACATATTTCTTACTTGTGGTCAAAATGTTTCACCTGCCAACAACCTTAAGTAAAAAATATTACAGATTGGTTAGCCGCAACCATTTCACCAACTTGCAATTGTTTCAGGTCAAGGCCGAGTCAACCAGCTAGGCGGTGTCTTCATCAACGGTCGTCCCTTACCAAACCACATCCGGTTGAAAATCGTGGAAATGGCGGCCGCCGGAGTGAGACCTTGCGTGATATCCAGACAGCTCCGAGTGTCGCACGGTTGCGTGTCGAAAATTTTGAACCGCTATCAGGCGACTGGGAGCATCAGACCTGGTGTAATAGGAGGATCGAAGCCAAGAGTGGCGACAGCAGACATAGAGGAGAGGATAGAGGAACTGAAGAAGGAGCAACCCGGGATTTTCTCATGGGAGATACGAGAGAAACTGATCAAAGTGAGTGCTGAGGTTTGTTGATATTTTTATTCAATATTCTCTTTATATATCTCGTTGCTTTCCTGTTCAAAATTCAACTAAAGAATCTGATATCTGAAACCTGAAATGAATTTAAATCAGTGAAATGATGACTTGGCCCTAAAAATTTTGCCCCTAATTTTTACGGTTCTAGGAAAATTGGTATTTTGAAAGCCTGTTTTAAACCGCCAATGTTTTCTATACATTAAAGGTACTCACATCAATAGCTCTAACGCGGACCATTTTCAAAATAAATGGCGTTTTATGATGGAATATATGAAAGAAAGTGACACGATAAAAAAAATATTTCAAAACTAAGCAAATAAACAACAAAAATCGCAAGTTGTTGAAAATGGCCTCCTACTATGGTAATGCATGCTTCCAGCCAAGACAAGAGAACCTCACGCAATCCTAAAATCTCCGCCACTATCATATACAAAATTTATGTTCTGTATGTCAGGTCAGATATCGTTAAATAATTGAAATTTTGTTGACACTATATCTTGTGATAAAAAAATAAACATATTTGTAGAATCACAATTATGCATATAATATCGACATGTAAGTCGATCGATAGTAAAAAAATCAAGAATAAGATGCAACAGTCAAACTAGAGACTATCTGTTTGGATAGCCAAATGTGCATTCGACCTTACTTTGCAAACTATAGTCCTTAAATTTTAAGGATCTGGATTTTATGTTATATTACAAAGTTTAATACTCATATCTAACGATAAACAAAAAATTAATGTCATGACATGTCTAAATATAATTAACACAAAAACACGTAAGTACCTGATATACTAAAATTGTTAATAATGCAATTATACAAAGAAATATCCTGTATTCTTGCTGTTCTACTATCACCCCTGACAAAGATTAATAATATAAAAAATAGCTACTACAAAGAGATCTTTTTATTTCCACATTTTACTTGGGATTGTTTCATTAGGTAGCGTTCGTATATAATTATTATAATATTAATGGAAAAAATATATATGTCGGAGTCGTAGGGCTAACTTGTTCGTTAATATCACTACTCGTGTCACTCATCTTCACAAAATAATAAGTAATACCGTAAATGAAAATGATTTAAAATAAAACGTTACAAATAAAGTACTCGAGGTGTTTTATGACAACAACCAGAGGCCCGATAATGAATCCACGGTCAACAGAATAGCAGTGTACTCACGTCTTCAATGCTCAAGTAGAACTGTACTTCTCTTCACTCGTCAGGTCAAAATTATTCTTAAATGAACCAATCAAATTCGTTATATTCTAGGGATTCCCTTATAAAGTAATTTTAAGGTAAATGCTATCCATCCTTTGACCGCGGCTACGTTGAGTGACCCGTAAGTCCCTCCAAACCCAAACTGGCCATCATAAAACTTGGGAATAACATAACCGGCTTAATTCACAAATAACTATTTCTAAGTTTTATTGTCTAGGTACAAAATGTATAAAAAGGTATTCCTTGAGTAAAGAATTCTGGAATTTCCAAAGTCTGAAGGACTCGGCCTGCGAGAAAGACATCTCCGACATATAAATATATCTAATTTTTAGAGAAAAAATGAAATTTTGAAACGATTGTCAAAAGTTTTTGATATAAGCAGATAGTAATTACTTTTTCTATCTAAAATAATATTTGACATTTTTTTTATTAATTATATACACTGTGTCCCCAAAATTCATATTTTTTTCAGTTGAAATTTAAAAAAGCGCAGGAACAGGTCAAATATTTTAACCTTTAAAACACATCTAATTATTCCTGTAACAGAAGTTTATTCCAAATAAAGGCACCCCGCATGACCCAACGTCGGTAGCATCACCTCGAGAGCCAGTTCTTCGCCTGATCTGGTCCACTGCACCGATTGACATCCGCCGAGGAAACCGGCGACTCCACTGGGCCGCTGTCCCTAATGGACACGCCGCCGCATAGCTCACGACCGTTCGGTTTGCGTGCAAAAACGTCCCGACGTGATGTCTATAATTTCGCGCGCGCAGTTATTTAGCATAAAAGCGGGCAACACCTGTGCTTCGCCCGGATCTCGAGAGCCGTAACGCATCGCGCCGGGGTCTCCCCCGACCATTATGTTTATTAATTCCGAGTTATTCGGCTAACGATCGGGTGGCGGTCGCCTGTCCGCCAGTGCCACGGTCCGAAGGGTGTTATTTGGGCCGTCCGGCTCCGGGGGCAACGGGCAGAGTAATGACGGGGCTCCCGGTGGGGCCAGGGGGTGCGTCCGGTCGCGGACCCCCCGCGGCGGCGTACGGCGCCGGCACCCTGGCCATGGCCGATAATATCTTCTTGGGTATAGGCGTTTCCACGGTTCTTTTTATAAGAATGTTGCAACAACCAGGGTCGTTTCCTAACTTCCGGTGTACCTCAAGGGTCTGATTTGGGCTCATCACAGCAAAATTAGCGTGAAGCGTTGCAAAAAATTTAGTTCAGGCCATGATAATTGTTACGACTAAGTATATGTTACGTAAAACAGTTCAAATCCGGACTGTCTAAAATTGGTGCAGTAATTAGTAATAAAAATTCTTTAAAATAGTTCTCATTAGTCTATGTAGTAGATATTGCAGGAACATGTCGGCATATTTTAGCTACTCTAATCAAAATTTCAGTTACTTCAAATACGGTTTTATAATTTCTTTGATCTTGTATATTTTTAATAATTATTTCAAATTGAGACACTCGTATTCTACATGAATTTTGCTAAGTCACTTTAGAATCATATGTGGAGACTTTCAGTAACTATAAACTATAAATAAAAAAATTGGGTATACCATTTCAGACAGAATAGGTTATTAATTCCTTCATCCCTCCATTAATGTTTCCTTTTGTATGTTCTTTTTTATAAAAATGTAGCAGAAATTGCGATACCCAGATCAGAAGCGTTTTATCACTTTCGGTGTGCCTCAAGAGTCTGATTTGGGTCCTTCACATTGTTCAAAGTGGCATGAAGAATTGAAAAAGTGTTTAATTTTTGAAAATTATTACCTTTGAGTAATGCAGGCAAATAATATATATTTTTTTAAATAGTTCCCCTTAGTCAATATACTTAACAGATATTACAAATGTTCAATTAAAAAGTTTCATAATAAAACTCTCTATTATTTCTACAGTGTGGACCATTTTGGTGATGCATGTATTGGTATCTTGATGGAAATTATAAGATAAAATGGCTAGATGGGGAAGTTTTAAACAGTGCTGTTGCTAACTTAATGGCGCTTGCGGACCAATCCTAGCTTTTCAGGTTTTTAAATTATTTTGAAAAAAAGTAAATATGGCGTTTTCGAAAAACTTTTTTATTTAGAGGAATTTTTTCACTGCAAGTTTTTTCGAGGAATTTCACTTGATACTTAGATTTCCTTTGCTACGTTTTGATTGTGAGAAACCGTCATCAATTTTCTTTTTCCTTATGGTTGCCATACTGAATTCTAAGTTGAGCAAATATAGTATTTTCTGGCTTTTCAATGATATAACTAAGAAAAAATTTCGAAAACAACATCAAAAATCAATATCTTATTATTTTTAATAAATGGCAACATCGCATAATTTTTCGAAACTATTATAGAATACTCTCAAATTTTTGTAAGATTGCTATATTTATTAAAAATATTAAAATATTGCTTTTTCAAATTTTTCTTATATCATTGAAAAGCCTAAAAGCACTATTTTCTCAACTTAAAATTCAATATGGCACCCATAAGAAAAAAGAAAGTTGATGATGGTTTCTCGCAACCGAAACGTCGCAATGAAAATCTAAATATACAGTGAAATTCATCGAAAAAACTTGTAGTAAAAAAGTTACAAAGATTTTCGAAATCGCCACATTTAATTTTTTCTAAAATAACTCAAAAATTTGAAGAATCAACCTAAAGGGTTCACCCCTAAACGTCTAAAAATGCAAAAAATATATTAAAACTTACAATTTTGTTTCTTTTTCTTTCATACGTGATAATTGAATCGTTAATAACCCACAATCACTACATCCGAAAGAAAATACCCCTAAATGAGGGTAAAACCACCCCAAAGTTCAACCATCGGTTTCAAAGTACATAAAATACAAACATGCATGAAAAAAATAATGTTTCCAAATACATTCATTAGAATAATTTATACACAAGTACACAATTTTTCAATTTTTTCACATTATTTACAATTTTTAGACATTTGGGGGATGATTTTACCCGTTTTGAGGGGTGATTATTTGTGAAAACGATTGATAATGTATAGGAGCTGTGTATAAATTAGTCCAACTTATGTAGGTACTTCAAAACGTGACTTTTTTGTGCATAATGATTAAACTGTGTTCCTTGTAACGAATAATTGTATTTAGGGATGGTTTACCCTACTTTGGGGGTGTTTTCCATCTGATGTGATAATTAGAAGTTATTCACGTATCAAACATTAAGTATAATAATAATAAAAAAAAATATTTTTCTTTCACATTATTTACAATTTTTGTATATTTGGGGGATGAATTTACCCCTTGAGAGGGATGATTATTTTTGAAAATGATTGGAAATGTATGGGAGTACTTGTGTATAAATTGTTCTAATGAATGTATTTCGAAACATTATTTTTTTCATGCATTATAATTATTTTATGTACTTTGAAGCCGATGGTTGAACTTAGGAGTGGTTTTACCCTCATATAGGGGTATTTTCCTTTGGATCTAGTGATTCTGGATTATTAACAGTTCAATTATCACGTATAAAAGAAAAATAAAAAAATATATATATTTTTTACATTTTTAGGCGTTTAGGGAATGATTTCACCGTATCAAATACGAAATTAGATATTTTCACGTTCATAATATTATATTGATAACTTAGAAATATTTGGGGCTTTACAACTGTTGATGATTCTTAATTTGTTCGTTTTTCTTGTCTTTTCAACCCCTACATAAGGGTGATTTTCGAAAATTTTCGAGATACTGAAAGTGATGCTCATTTTAATTCCAGTATCTGGAT